ATTTGTTCCCCAAGTAGATACTTACAGATTGTGATCCAGTCACCCCTTCACCTTCTCTTTGTCATGCGAAATAGGTCGAGCTTCCTGAGTCCATCACTCTAAGGCAGGTTTTCTAACCTTTAAACCATCCTTGTGGCTCTTCTTTGACCCCTCTCCAGCTTATCAACGTCCTTCTTGAATTGTGGACCCCAGAACTGGACACAGGAGTCCAGCAGTGCTTGCACCAGTGCCAAATACAGGGGTAAAATAACCTCTCTGCTCCTACCTGAGATTCCCGTTTATACATCCCAAGATCACATTAGCTCTCTTGGCCACACTGTCGATTTGAGTGCACATGTTCAGCTGATTATCCACCACGACCCCTAAATCTTTTTCACAGTCACTGCTTATAGCGGTCCCTCCCCGCCACAGGGTGTAGGTATGGCCTACATTCTTTGTTCCTAGATGTGTGCCTTTCCATTTCTCTGTATTAAACACATGCTGTTTGCTTTTTCCCAGTTTACCAAGCGATCCAAATTGCACGGCATCAGTGACCTGTCTGCTTCATTATCTACCATTCCCCAATTCTGGGGTAATTTGCAGACTTAATCAGTGGTGATTTTATGTTTTATTCAAATATGAATAATTTGCTAATAAAGGATTTTCCAGTTTTCTGGCAATTCTGAAAAAAGAATGGTTTCCGGGCAACCTGAAACAGCTTTTGTTTCAAAATTTTCAGTGAATCAAACTGTCAAAAAATTTTTTGGGGGGTTGAAGGAAATGTTTTTATTTTGATTCTAAGCATGTTTTTTAAATAAAATTGATGGAAATTTAGAAACAAAATAGTTTCGAGCTGCAAAATCGAAATGTTTCAGAATTTTGTTTGTTTTTCAACCAAAACAATTTGGTGAATTCAACACAAATTTGCAAAACATTTCAGTGTCGCCAAATCTAGATTTTTTTTATTTCAGCTGAAAAATATCACCCGGCCATATTGATTAGTTACCGGTGGCAAAGCATGCGGGACCATCCGGAGCCTTTGGAAAGTGCTACGCCACATTACGACTCCAATAGCTCTGTATATACAGCTCTCGAATGCCATCCAGGCCATTGCTTCGCCATATGGAAGATCTGCAGGGCACGGAAGAGTGAGGCGAGGTCCCCAGAGGGTGTGCTGCACCATCGCTCCCCCTTTGGTAGTAGGTTCTGAATGCACTGTGCCGGCTTGTTCTCTGGCCGTACTGGTTTCTGCTTGCCCTGCACTGGGGATGGGGCTGCTGGAGAGGAGCCTGGAGGCCTGAGCAACTCCACTGTGGCATTAGTCAGCGTCTCTGTTTCTCCCACTCAGGGGAAGGGCCTTCCAACCGTGAACACCTGGACTGTAGGGATGAGCCCCTTGTGGGGTGGGAGCAGGAGGTTGCCTCAGGCGGATGAACAGGCTGCTCTGTGCTCATGTCTCTGCCCAGCCGCAGGTTCAGAAAGCTCAGCTCATCACAAAGGCCTGACGGTGTTCTGGAACCACCAAGCTTTTTCCTACCCAACTGGGAGGCCCCATGAAAAGCTCCCCCTTCTCTAGCGGCACCTAGGCCTTGGCCATTTGGAGGGAGAACATAAGAACGGCCAGACGGGGACAGACTAATGGTCCATCATTTGTTGAGCCCCTCAAAGAATTCTAATAGATCAGTGAGGCGTGATTTCCCTTTACAAAAGCCATGTTGTCTCTTCCCCAACGTGACCTGTTCATCTCTGCTTCCAATACTTCTGTTCTTTACTCTAGTTTCAACCAGTTTTCCTGGTACTGAAGTTCGGCGCGCCAGCCTGTAATTGCCAGGATCTCCTCTGGAGGCTTTTGTGAGGGAGGGAAACCCTCAGGGTGGAGGAGCCGGGCTGAGGGAGCGTGGATAAAGTCTCTCATGGGTGGGCTGTGTTTTTCTGAGTGAGGTGGGCACTGGAATTCTGGAGGCTCCTGGTCTCATTTACTCTTAGACCACCCCTGCTGCCCACCCTCATACCCCACCAGCATGCACACAGCTACGAGACCCACGCTGTCCTGCTGCACCCTGCGCCCAGCATGCCTCACACCCGAGCTAGCTCCAGCGCCCAGATGAGCTAAATCTGTCTAGCTTAGAGGTGCTTTGGGCCTTGAGGTTTCTGATGGGTGTGAACTCCAATGATGGGAAGGGGCCTGTCTCGGGAGAGCCCTGGTGGCGTGATGGGATGACCCAAAAAAAGCCTGGATGTGAGGACCGAGCAAGGTCCTAGTTGAAGATGATGCCCAGGATTGAGTGACAGGTAGGATGGTGCTGTTGTCCACAGTGATCAAGAAAGGAGATAGAGGGGAAGACGTGGAAGCGGGGGTGACTGGGAGCTCTGTTTTAGCCATGTTGAACGTGAGCTGATGCTAGACATCCATGAGGAGCTATCAGAGAGACAGGATGAGATTCTAGTTGGGATGGAAGGAGACGGGCCTGGAGTAGAGAGGTATAGCTGTGTCAGCAAAGGGGTGGTAGTTGAATTTGTGTTTGCAGATGAGATTATCCAGAGATAAGGTGCTGAGGGAGAAGAGAAGGGGACTAAGGACAGAGCTCTGTGGAAAGTTGGAAGGGGGATGAGGTGGATCTTCTGAAGGACACACTGCAGGCACGATTAGAGAGGCAGGAGAAGAACCAGGAGAGGACAGAGTCGCGGAAGCCAAGGGAGGACAGGATTTTAAGAAGAAGCACCTGGTTAACTGTGTTGAGGGCCACTGACAGGTGAAGAAGGATGAGGATGGAGTGCTGGTTCTGTGCTTTGGTTATGAAGAGGTGTCACGGAGTGTGGGGGGAACACAAGGCCCTGCACCCCTGGCTTCCTGCGATTCACCATGACTCTCAGCCAGCCAGTAAAGCAGAAGGTTTATTTAGACGACAGGAACACAGTCCAAGACAAGTCTTGCAGGCACAGACAACAGGACCCCCCCAGTTAGGTCCATCTTGGGGTCCCAGGACCCCACAGCCCCCTTGGGAGGTCAGAGCCCTGTCTGCCTCCCAGCCATATCACCAGCCAGCTCCTGAAACTCTCCCTTCAGCGGCCCCTCCCACAGCCTTTGTTCAGTTTCCCAGGCAAAGGTGTCACCTGGCCTCTAACCCCTTCCTGGGTTCTCACGTTACATGCTCCGGTGTCTTCCCTCAAGGCCAGTCTCCCATCCCCCAATGCAGACCATCCTAGCCACACTCCCCTGCCTTCCCAGCCAACACTCCCCACTCAGCATTCAAAGACCACATTAAGAACAGTCCCAGTTCGTCACAAGAGGTCCTTAGAGACTTCGGCAAGAGCAGTTTCAGTGGCGTGTCAGGGGTGGAAGCTGGATTGGAGAGGGGCTAGGATGGAGTTGGAGGAGAGGACGTCCAAACAGCGATTGTGAACAGTGCATTCAATGGGCGTCGAGATAAAAGGAAGATGGGGTGGCAGCTGGAAAGGCCAACGGGGTCGTCCCAGGCGATAATGGCTCAGGAGCTCAGCGGTGGGATTTCACTCCGATTCACAATTCAGCTCGTCAGGGTCTCTTGCCCTGCAAGGCCCCAACTCAGGGTTTGCCTTGCCCAGCTGGAAACATCCTCTGCCGAATCAGGGCCCTGCTTGCTAACCTTACTGTGAAGCACTCACTCCTGCATGTCACAGAAAGCCTGATGAAAAGGCTGGATTTGTCCTCAATCACCGGAACGCGGGAGCTGCCCTGCTGGGTCAAGTCCTCAGTAGCCTGCCCCCATGGCAGCCACCGCTCGATGCCTTAGGAGAGCAAACCCAGCCCTGTGCAGAGTGCACCCCTCAGTAAGTGCACTCCCCCGGAAATGGGGCCCAGGCTCTGCCATCAGCACGGTGCTGGACACTGTGGGTAAAATGGCCAAGTGCACCTAGTGACTTAGGAGACACAGCTCCATTTCCAAAAGTGACTTAGATGCTCAGAGGCCTACAAACGTTACCCTATATACATACAGCACAGCAGTGGATGTGGAAGTGGGGTGCCCAGCCAGGATGCCGGGCTGCCCCAGACAGTCAGATCCCTTGGATAGATGGGACATAAGCAAACAGCATTCTGCAGTTTGGACCGTCTTCTCTGCCTTCTCCAACCTCTTCCCAATGACCCCTCAGTGCCCTTCTCCGCAGCCCTCCCTGCTCCCTCCTATCATTTCATTGGCTATTTCCTTTTGGGCCCTGGGCCCTGTCTAGCTCTCGGTGCATACAGCGCCTTGCACAGTGGAGCCCCAATCCTGATCGGGGCCTCTGGGTACTGCTGTGGCAGAAACGATACACCATGACAGTGGCAAAGAGTAGTCCATGATCTCTTCTGCTGGGACCCTGCTGCCAGGGGCAGAACTCCTCCAGTCCCACCAGCCAGCCACATCTGGAGCACTCGAGACTTGATGTCACACACCTGGATGTTCCCCTAGGGTGCCTTTGCTGAGTTCCCAGCAATTGCTCTGGATTTATGAGATCGGAGTCAGGGTCTTTGGTTCAGAGCTGGGGGACGTGTTTGCACCAAGCGTAGAAGAGATTTTGGCAGATGGACAAGTGCTCACTAGACCTCTCGGGACATCCCCTCTCATACCGTTCGCCACTTTCAACTCCTCCCCCAGGGCTCGGAGACAATACGAGCCAAACCTCGCGCATCCGGGCACAAGCTGATCCCTCCTCCAAGGGCTAAGGGGAGAATCTCCATCCCACGGGCAGCACTGCACAACTGGCAGGTGCGTAACGGGTGCTTTTCACTTTTCTTTGAAGCAACAATTATTGGCCACTGCCGAAGGCTGGCCTGAGGGCACAAAGGTCTGTTCCAGCAGGACTCATCCCATGTTCCGAGAGGACCTTCGAGGGCCGGGCTGGTGAAACATTTGTGAGCCACCCAAACCCTTAAATAGGATGTCCCTCCTCCACTTTCCCCTTCCCAATTTGCCAAGGTCCTTCTAAACCTGAGGCAGAGGGGGATGCTGGGTAAGGGGGTGTGTCTTGGGGAGTTCCTGTTGAAATGCATCAAGACCGAGGCTTGTTTGTGCAAATAGCCTGGGATCAGGCTGTGATTCCTGGAGCCTTTTTCTCCTTGCGGAGGTGGGGGGACGAGAGCGAACTCTGTGACATCTCGGGGAGGCAGCAGGTTCCTGTGGCCCCTATGCCGGGGGGAAGGACCGAGAGGCAGCAGGGAGAGGATGTGAAGCAGGACCTGGCGAAGAAAGGGGGGGGCCCTACCGATCCCCCCCACTCAAGAGGCTCAGATGTGTGAAACAAATCCCAAACCCTCTGTTATGAATTTTTTTTTTGGCACGCGCAGGAGGAAGTGATGGAGTTGCTCCTTTCTGGAGAGCGGCTGCCAACCCCGATGCAGCCCCCTGCGGCCCCCCAGCCCCTTTGCCAGCGTTTGTTCCTAGCAGAAGGGCTGTTTGTGTGTTGTGTGGGCTCCTGTTTTTTGTTTTAAGTGTGGCTACAATCATCTGCTGAGAGGCTCACTACTCCGGCTCGTTCCCTGCCAATTTCCCTGAGAGCTGGCACTACAGGCGCTCCGGAGGCAACGAAGAGAGGCTGGGGAGGATAGATCGTGAAGGGAAAAAAATGGACACATGCCATCGACGGAGCGGCGAGGTGCCAGAATGCCAGCAGGCAGCATGGGGCCAAAAAAAAAAAAAAAACGCCACACGGAGCGGAAAAGAAGCTGGCAGCCCCTCTCGAAGCAGGCGCTGGCTGAGTTGGCAGAGGTGCCATGGAGGACGGGCTGCAGAGAGCAGGCAATGCGGGAGAGAGAGAGAAAAACAGACAGACAAATTGGCAGAGGCAGGACAGGTAGCAGACGGCGAATGGGGAGAGGAAAAAGGTACTTGTCTTCATTTTAAAGCGACGAAATCTCCGGGTGTGTCGGTGTGTGCTGCATGAATATTTGTGTGCGGGCACACCCGAGTTGGTGTGTGTGTAGCGTGTCTCTGAGCATGCGACGGTATGTTAGCCTGCGTCCGTGTGTGGGGGCATGTCGGGGTGTGCGCTCACACAGCGGTGTGTCTCATCTCACTAGATTGGGCTCTAGCCCCGTGATGCCCCTCACCCCACGCTGGCGTTTGCTGCCCTGCTCTGGCTTTGACGAAGCCTGGGTCGTGGGATGAGCCCTTGGAGAACTTGCCAGTGTGGGGCCTGCTTCTCCGGCCGGGGTTTCTCGGGGAGATGCATTTCACAGCCGCTTTGCGCTGAGCGGGCGGGGGACTAGAAACAGGCATTGTCTGTCTGAGGGGCTTGGAAGGCAGGTGCCTCACTGCACAGGCCAGCCCGGTATTGGGGGGCCAAGGCATTTGTTTTAAACTTCAGCATGGGGTGGGGTTCTCGCCCGGCTTTGCAGCAGGTGGTGGTGGTGGTGGGGTTACAGATATAGTGGTGCCCTGTTCACGTTAAGGAGAGCTGTTTCATATGCAGCACAACACGCTGGCCTGGAAGTGCCAGCCCAGCTGATCACTGCGTGAACAGCTCCAACCGGGGTTTTCTTCCTCTGCGTCTTGTGCAGCTCAGAAACACTCCCAAGGTTTTTGGGGGAGAACAGTTTCTTTTTCCTTGCCTTGGCGCGCGACGGCTCTAACTGGCGGGGCAGGCAGAGTGAGGGGGCGCTGGGGGCAAGAGGAAAACCGCCCCCCTCTCGGTTATGAGACTTTCCCTGCATTCGTAAAATCAGACCCGCAGCCAAGTGCGGAGGGCATGGAAACAGGACTCTGTCAATAAAATGCTTGGAACCTATTCAATGGAGGTCGGCTTTACACCCCGCGTGAGGCTGAGGCAAGCGCCAGGTGCCAAGTCCCGCACAACTAACGCTGGGTGTAGGGAGGGCACACGGCCCCCAGCCTGGCCTGGGTTGGCTGTAGTGATCCCGCTCCACAGGAAAAACGCAGTGTCCCGGAAGCTGGCGGGAAACTGCGCTCTGGGCTGTTCACAAGCGGGGAGTTGAGCAGAAGAGAAACCCATTCGGCCTATCTGAGCACTTGGGTTTTCAGATGATAGGGAAAAACTGGAGCTGAATTGCAGGGAAATCTGTTAAACGATGGGAGGCACTGAGCCAAGTTCTGCTGCTAGCAGTGCCCATGTACATCCGGAGTCACATCACCGGAGCGACTCCAGTATTACACTAGTCCATCCACACTACTCCCTCGAGTCTTTGACTCACGACAGCATACGACTTCTCGGGCCAAAGACACATTTCTGGTGTTGCTGAGCAGGGGCTAAAACCACGCCCCAGGGGGTTGCTGATTTGAACCAATTTCCTTTACAAAAAACATATCATGTGCCAGGTGACTAGTTTTGGCCAATTCTCTAGCTCTGCTCTGGCCGAGCGGACTTGCGGGAAGCAGAGAGGGGATTACGGAGACATTGACGACAACTAACCATGGTGTCAAATAAATGTTCTCCCCACCACTGAACATACCAGGAGTGGGTTTCTTTCTTGACATGGAATCTGAGGGGGGGCGGGGGCAACCAGTCGTCTGAGCAGCTCCCATTGTTCTCAGTGGGAAGGAGAGTCCCTAATGGAGCGCATTGTTTAGTGGGTTTGCAGCAGTGCTGGGGTCTCCTTCAGTACCACATCGTGGGCCAGTAACAAGCCAAGGATACTGTAGAGTCAAATGGTGGATACCGAAATAGCCCACTCACAGCCATGGAAAAGGCTTGGTTTGACTTCCAGGGACTTGGGATCAGGTCCTGTAAGAATAAGCTTCAAGGGCAACTAACGGGAGAACCGAGTAACAAAACCTGACCTGCTCACCGAAGAGATTTCAATGACTCTGTTCTCCCCGGTGGGACAGCAAACGCCTGTCTGGTGTAGCACGCGCTGGACACCTGCTAGGGGAATAGTGATTATGTGCCGCCGGGGTGTGCACGGCCCACACTTTTGTCTTTCTTTGTGCCTAAGGATTCATTCATTTTTCCTACACGACCAGTCTCCCAGAGCCAACCGTCTTCGGGCGCCACCCCCACCAGCCAGAATGGTCCAGGACCAGCCGGGGACTCGGAGCTTTGCAGAGAGACCGGTTCGAAACACGGGCCCAGACCTAGGATGCTAAGCGTTTATTCTGGGGGAAGAGAGACGCAGCCCCAGGGGGCATCCCCAGCTCTGCGGGGAAGGGAGAGGGACACGCTGCTAAGCACAGCCTCTCCCAGGCCCAGCGAGCGTCGATGCATCATACAAATCTATTCCTCTTATTTAATCCTGGGGTTGTGCTAGCATCTAAGGGCCAGCTCTTCAAACTCCCATTGCTTTCAAGCAGCAGGCCGGGTCCCATTGATTTCAGTGGGTGGTTGGTGCCTAAACACAGTGGAGGATCTGGCTTAAATGCCCCCGTCGGAGGCGAGGCCCCGTTGCGCCAGGCGCTGTACGTACGCACCACCAGAGACAGGCCCGACGAGCACTCTCGCTAATACAAGGACAAGACGCCACAAGGAGCAAGACACAGGAAGAGACATGAGGGCTGACGGGAGACTATTTAAAAGCCCCCCGGGTAGGCAGAGAAGCGTAGCTAATAGGAGCGACCCTTCCTGTTGCAGGCTTACGTCTGGTGGGAGAAAGCTGTGTGGCATGCCCTCCCCGCGCTGCCCTGGGCCAAGTGCAGCGCTCGGGCATGGGAGTGCTCCAGAGGGAGGCAGTGGAGCGGGAAGAGGTTCCCTGGGGTGTTCACATGCGCCCAGCGATGCTGTGGGGAGACAGGCACGTCGGCATCCCCCACACTCAGCGGGGACAGAGCCTTCCAGTGCTCAGAGCCAGAGGCCATACAGCTCCCAGCGCTCAGCCCCTGGGGCGTCCCAGCACAGAGAGCCAGGGAACCATGCTCCAGCCTGCGCTCAGGTCTGGGTGGGAGCCACGTACAGAGAGCAGGCACGCTGCGAAGCAGGAATGCGTCCCCTCCCCCTTCTGTGCCCTACCCGTTCCCCCAGCAATCTCCCAGAGATAGGCCCATCAGACTCTGTCCCCCTGGATGTCCAACGTCCAGCTCAGGGGCCTTGCTGAACTGGCCAGCCCCATGGCCAGCCAGAATCCCATTATACCCCCCCACACACACTTTCCTTGGCCTCTCCTCACCTGCCCCCTACCACTGCTGGCCCCGCAGGACTCCCATACGTGTCGGTTGTCCCACCCAGGGCAGTGCCTGACCCCCGCACGCACACACGGCTGGTGTCTCCAGTGCCCCCTTTCAGGCATTTCCTAGATGAGCAATGAGCACCTCAGAACAGGCGGATGGTCTGACAGGGACCCCTGCCCTGGACCAGGTCCCATGGAGCTGGCTGAGAAAAGTCTTCACTCAAGCTGGGAGCACCTACGACGCCCCAAACACGGAGAGCTGCCACCTCTCCCTCCTGTCCTCTTCTTGCGCCCCCCACGCTGGACTAATGACCTGATCCCCTGGGGGAGGCCGCACCCCCCATGGTCTGAGCCCCGCTGTGGAGGTGTCGGGCAGCGGTTGCCCTCAGGCAGCGATCACGCGGGTGGCTTCCAGAGTCATCCATTTTTCAGGGAAAACCACAACAAGCTGCAGCTCCTTCCCGCAGATCTCCATGGGAAGTACCTGGGGAAGCAGAGCCCCATTAGGTAAAAGGAATGGAAGGGGATCCCGGCAGCAGCGCTGAGGGGGCCCCAGGGTCTTTCCCCCTTCCCCCTCCACCTCCTCCTTCTCTCTCCTTTTTCCTTCCATATTTCACAGTTCCTGCTTCCTGCACAAAGCGGGAGGTCTCCAGAGACTCCAGCCAGATGTTCTCTGCAGCACACCACATTGCTCTGCTAATGAAATATTCAGAGCGACTCTCTGCCTTTTGACATGAAAGCCTTCTGCAGCTTCCCACCCCGTGGAGCCCAGCCCCGTGGGCACCGCATTCCCACAAAGCCACCAGCCCCACGGTGCGAGCCGGCTCCCGAACCAGCAGGGAGCGGTCGCCTTTCTCCTGGGCTCAGGCAAACTGGCAGCACCCTGCTGCCCTTCGCCAATGCTCCCGCCCTCTGTGCTGGGACATGGATGCTCATCTCCTCCTGGCGAGGGCGGTCAGCTGTCTGACAGCCCTCCTCTTCCTTTTCTGCCACCCGAGGGAGCGTTTGAACCAACACATCAGACATCCAATGGCTGCCTTAGCAGAGACGGGCCAGAGGGAAAGTGGCCGCTCAGTGAGTGGGGCAGGGAATGTCTGTGCCAGCCTGCCAGTCAGCTTGCCAAGGCTGGCAATACATGGTACCTGCCTCATGGCCATGGACACACTGTAGTTACACAGGATCTGCCCGGTGTCATCACACCATTGGTCCATCTAGTGCGGTTTCTGTCTCCGGCAGCGGCAGCACCTGTACCGAATGCCGCGGAGGCAGGGAGATGCTGTTCATGGGACCAGCGCTTAGCAGTGGGCGCCACAGAATGAATGTAGCTGGTGCTCAGTGTGTGTACTACGCGGCGGGTTCCTGCAGCCGTGCCCCCGTCGCCTCAGCCATTCCTGTCGCAAGCATCTGATGCGCCTACCAGATCTGGCAGGGCCAAGGTTTCACAGCTGGAAGCTGGGGTTCGAGGGAGGACGCCTATTTCTGCCTTAGTTTCCAATGTCTGGACCAAAAATACAAGACAATCTGAAACCAAACTGGAATATCGGCTTCCGCACGTAACCCTGGCACCTGGGCAATGTCTGACCGTCAGACCTAGGCTGTGTTACATAGCTTCCCGGCTGTTCAAGAGTTTCAGCTTTTTCTCTGCAACCAGGGATACTACAGCAGCTGTCTTTGGACACTGACCATCCAAAATGGGCAGGAAGGAGGGCCGGGAAGCTCTGCCCCCCTCCCACGAGCTGGTCGAGCAAATGTCAGAGCTACCTCCGTCA